CAATCCCACTAGCTGCTCCTTGGGACAAAATGTGGCAGTCTGCTTCAGTAAAGATTTACAGCCTTGGAAACCCTATGGGGCAGTTATACTCTGTCCTACAGGGTCACTATGAGTCGGAATCAACTCCACAGCAATGAGTTTGGTTTTTATTTTGGGTATCTCTGTCTATGAGTATGTTAAGTATTAGGATAACCTCTACTGAATTAATAAAAAAAGCTATTCATGGCTAGCAACAAGTCTCCTACGAATTTTAAAATACAAATTAGCTTCTTAATGAACTAGAAATAACATTCCTATCTTAGTGCCAGGGGGTATCTACTCGGAAGTCAAAGAGCTCTCGTTCTCACTCTCTCAGACTCATTCTCAACAATGGATGCGCCTCATATATAACTTGGTTTCCCAGGGATAAAGCTGTCTGAGAGAAAGGACTACAGCCTAATGTCAGAGCTTCCCAAGTTCTGCTTTTTCCCCAATGACATACACTTCCCTGATGTGTTCAAGGTCTGCCGAATTCTACACAATATGCTCAAATCAGGGAGAAGCACGGTTTCTGATGTGGTCACAGTGGAGGGAGGAGTCTTGGCGTGAAGGAGCCAAAACATGACACCGTGGGTTATTTAGGGAGAAGGTAGGATTTATGTCTACAATATAGAGCCTGAGTGGCATAAGCAGTTAGCAACTGACTGTTAACCTAAAGGTTGGTGGTTTGAACCCACTCAGCAGCTCCGTGAAAGAAAAGACCAGGTGATCTGCTTCTGTAAAGATTATAGCCAAGAAAACCCTATGGAGTAGTTCTACTCTGTAACACACGGGGTAGCCATGAATTGGAATCTACTCGACAGCAATGGGTTTGGTGATTTGTTTGTGTTACCCTCTCTGCCATTTTCACATATTTTGAAACTCAATAAAGTATTTGTGTATTGGCATTTTTTTTTAATGTTTGTTGTTAATTTGGCCCAGTCTTATGACTAGATGATGAAATTGGGTTTTGTTTTTGTTTTATTATTATTGTAAAGATATAGGTAGCACCACATTTGCCAATTAAACATTTTTCACGTATACAATTCAGTGAGAGCAATTACATTTTATCATGTTGTGCAACCATCACCTATGTCCTTTACCAAATTTTCTATGAAATGGGATTTTGAGATGTATTAATGCTGCATCAATCACATGTACACTTTTAGAGAGCTGAAAGTCACCACATCTTGATCTAGAGTTCCTGGGCCAAAATAGAAGGATGCTTTACTTGCTAACTTCTTTGCTTTTATCAAGTTGCTGTAGCAGCTTCCATAATGAGATAGTAAGCAATTGTGCCGACTATTATTGGTAAAGACTGTCTATTAGCCACAGCCTGAGTGTTAGCCCACCTTCCTCCTCTCTGCCTACCTTCATGTCTCCCCAGCATATCCAACCTACAGACAGAATAATGGCAATTTCAACATACTCCCTTCTTTTTTAGAAATAATTTCTATTGCAACTAATTTGTTCAACCTTATTTGTAGCACTAATCTTTAATGGAACAAGTTACGAAGGATGTGTCAGAGATAAAGAAGTCAATCTAAACCATTGAAACCAAATTTATGTCACTGTTAGCACTACTGATAAATAATAATAAAGTTGAATGACTTTAGGAAAAGTTTGCCAGAGTTTAGGAGAACCGAACCCCAACACTGGCCTACAAAAGAACAGTTCTCAGTTGGCATCGAATCTCCATATACATTTCCTTTCCCCCTTTCCTCATTTCCACTTCCTCTTCATTTATGAACAACACCATACAGTTTCCTCTGAACTATAACTGCCTGCCATCCAAGCCTCCCAAACTGTCCTCCTTCTCTGTCTCTTTTCCTGTGTTCTGCTAACCTCTGATCACTCACCCCAGCATTTATCTTTATCATAACCTTTATCTTATAGGGCATGGGGGAGGGCAGCCTGAAAGCAGAAGAACACCATGTCAAGATCAGTATTTTAAAGGATAACTTTCAGCTGCATTACAAAAATCAGAAGTAGGAGAGAGACCAGAAGGAAAATAAAAATCAGGAGGGAAATAGCAAGGGCCTGTATCTGGGCAGCAACAGCAGGAAAGGCAAGGTGGGTAGATTTTTAAAAGGTATGCTAAAGGCAGACTGAACAGGACATGCTGCCTAGCTATAGGACAGTAATAAAGAGGGGAAATGAAAGATAAACTTGAAGTTTTCCAACTGTGCTGATAGCTGGATATGGTTCACTTAACAGAGACAAACGAAGGTGAAGATCATATAGAAAGGAATTGATGTATTCAGTCTGGACATTTTGAAATTCAGCTGCATTCAGGGAAGATATCCAATATGCCAATAGACAATCAATATTCTAAATTAGCAGAAAAAATGCTGGGTTTAAGGAGGATCAAAATAAGAAAATTCCTCAACTAGCCCTGGTGGTGCAGTGGTTAATAGATTTGCTCCTGACCACAAGATCAGCAGCTCGAATCTACCAGCCACTCCTTGGAAAGCCCATGGGGCTGTTCTACTCTGTCCTACAGGGTCGACTATGAGTCGGAATCAACTTGATGGCAATAAAACAAAAAACCAAACCCGCTGTCGTCAAGTCAATTCTGACTCATAGCAACCCTACAGGACAGAGTAGAACTAACTGTCCCATAGGGTTTCCAAGAGTAGCTGGTGGATTCAAACAGCCGACCTTTTGGTTAGCAGCCAAGCTCTTAACAACTGTACCACCAGGACTCCCGATGGCAATAGGTTTGGTTTGTTTTTTGTTTGTTTGTTTAATCTAATCCTTTATTATCTCTCTTCATTTTACTGAAAACAAGATACCTATTAAGTAGCTATTGCATGCAAAGTCCTGGGATAGGCACGAGGGAAAACATATAAACCAACCAACAGAGAAATAACAGAAACAGAGTGCCTGCTCTCAGGGCACTTGCAAGCTCTGGTAGGAGATAACACCCTAACAATGGCACAAAGTGCTGTGGGTTTGGATGAGGGAAGGGTTACCAGAAGAGGCTTCATGGGAGAGGTAGCATTTATCAGGAACAGGATGGACTGCACTACCTCAAGTTCACAACTAACTTAACACCCGGAAGGAGACTACATGTTGGCTGCTTCGCTTCACAGTCTGGGCATGCCCTGTGCTTCTAGGCCAATTATAAGGCAGATTCTCCCTAAAGACCCAGCTACATGAATTTTATTTTGCTGCACTCATTGATATTCCTTCTGTAGAAGTTATGTTGTGACTTCTTTGTGTGACTTTTGTTAATCTTCTAACTTTCACATTTTGGTACCAAAAAAAAAAAAAATTGCTGTTGATTTCAACTCATAGCAACCTTATAGGACAGAGTAGAACTGCCACATAGAGTTTCCAAGTAGAGGCTGGTGGATTCAAACTGCCGATCTTTTTTTCTTTTTTGGTTAACAGCTGTAGCTCTTAACCACTGTGCCACCAGGGCTCGTACATCTTGGTAGTAGGGTATTTATGACCAACTCTTGGAGCACTATACAAGTCTATGCTAGAAGTGAAAGATTTAATCCTGGGTCCTGAGACCTCTCTGGAATTATTCATCTATCCATAGGGACAAGGTGCCACCCCTACAGAATACAGACAGCCAAACATCTTGACAGAGACCAGGGTGCTTAAAATTCAAGCTGCCCCAGCAATTCCACATCTAGGTATTTACCATGAGGAACAAAAACATATGTCCACAGAAAGACTTGTGCAAAAATGTTCACAGAAGCGTTATTTGTTAATAGTCAAAAACTGGAAACCACTCAAATGTCTATCATCTGCTGAGTGGATAAACAAATTGTGGTATATCCGTGTTGTTTTGTGTGCTGTGGAGTGGATCTCAACTCACAGCTATCTAATGGCCTGTGGTCCTACTGAGATCTTGCTTTTCCATTTCCTGTGGCCACAACCGCAGGGTTGATGTATGCCAGGGAGAAAAGGCTCCTGAACTTAAAAGAATGTTTATGGCAGCACAGCCCTCAAGTCTAGAAGAGGTCCTGATTCAAGATATATACAGGAGGTTTTGTTTTGGAGAGAGAAAGTCCATTGCTATTTACTTTTTTCTTAGTCCCACTGATATTCTCAAACAAAATACAAGTTCTAAATAATATTACTTTTAAGTTCTATTTTCAGAATTTCAAAACTACTAATAAAAGAGACTTGTACAGAAACTTTATATAAGAGGTGTGTTTCCTGCACGCTTGATGTCAGATGAAGTAAATTTACACTCAGTAGTGTCTGTGATGTGCCAAACACTGTACTAGACCATTGGACGTGCAATAATTCTATTAGTTACATATAATTATCCTTCTCTTTGCAGAGATGGTCACTAAGACTCAGAGTGTAATTAATTGCCCAAGTTGCTTAACATTAAACTAGCAAAGCACAGAGTTTACATCTACCTCTAGGTCTATCTAATTTTCAAGCTTGGCTAAGCAAGAAAAAAAGTTAGTTCTCTGGAAACTGCACATAAATTGTGGTTTAAAGCTTGGTTTAATAATCACAAAGTCCTAAGTTCAAATCTCTTTTCTCAGCCACTTACTAGCTGTGTGGGCTTTGTGCAAGAAATTATCCCTCTCAGTTAATTTCCTCATCTACAAATTGAGGATGATCAATCCTACTTCACTGAGCTGTGAGGATTAAATGCGATAATTTACACAATAAGCACAACAACTATTAGCTACTAGTATTATCTCAAATGCGAAGCTGTTCCACATGGAATAAGCACAGTGTAGATATACGAATACAGCTTTCAACTATTCAGAGGTTGGATTTCCACACAATAGATCCTATTCCGCCCTTCAATTAGTCCTGCCCTTCTCAAGTCAATTTAGTAAAAGTTTCGATGGGAAAAATTATCTGTCAAGCTTCTGCCTGTAATGAATCTATGAGGACCCGCTCTGCAGGCTCATGTTCACTCTTTCGCAAACTTGCTCTGTAAACTTGAAACTTGACCAGAACAGCCTCTTCCCAGACAACCCACCGTCCCCTTCACCCACCTGCTCTGGGTACTTGCTCCCAATGATCTCTGCCACCGTGTTGAAGGAATCAGCATCTGGGTAGCTCTTTGCCCCCATCTTCAGCTGAATGACAATTCTGGCTCCATGAGAAGCCATTCCTGACATCATTTCTGCATCTTCCACTGTAATGCAGGCCGTTGGGATCTTGGGCACGCCATCCTGGTATTCCTGAATGCCTGTGTGAGGACTTGAGAACAGAAGCCAACAGGTTACCTTGACAGTTGAAATACAGCAAAAGTATCTTTAAAAATCCCCTGTATTGACACTTGACCTTCAGTGATCTTCATTTGCATATGATGGGTAAGGTAGGGGGGCAGTATTGACTTAGTTGATTTTAATGTGAATGTAATTTTTTCTTTTGGTAAAAATAATTCAGAAACTTCAATTTAATACAGCACCTAACAACAACAACATCATTAAAAACATCACATGGGTTTATTTTGATAATTTAGATAATCCTTTACAGTTGCAAAATGCCTCAGACTCTAAAGGACATTGGGAGTGCCCTCATAACCAAAAGGTAAACACATCTTTATGAGGAGACGAAGGGAGCTCTGGAGTCCACCAAGCCTGCAGATTTCAAGGCCTACATGTTAAGGGGAAAACTAACCCAGACAGACCTGCTGTAGGGTCGCTGACCTGTACTGTGCTCACTCTCTTCCCACCCAAACACAAAGGTCTGAATACCAAGCCCCACGTCAGTAGCAGAACACAGGAAACCTGTAAAACGCTGTTTGAAGAAAAGTGCAGCATAAACTCAGGGCAATGTATTTACTGTCTCAAGAAAAAGAAAACTATTACAATTTTCATACTAAAAGAGAAACATCACCCTGTACAGTCAAATTTTTCTTGTTATTTTCCAGATGCTTGTTGTTGTTGTTGCTAGCTGCTGTCGAGTTGGTTCCAACTCATAGCAACCATATCTACAATAGAACAAAACATTGCCAAGTCCTGCGCCATCCTCACGCTTGCTATATCACAGCTCGTTGTTGCAGCCACTGTGTCAATCCATCTCATAAAGGGCCTTCCTCTTTTTCACCGACCCTCAACTTTACCAAGCATGACGTCCTTCTCCAGGCACTGGTTTCTCGTTGTCATAAATTGAATTGTGTCCCCCAAAAATATCTGTCCACTTGGCTGGGTCATGACTCCCAGTATTGTATGGTTGTATACCATTTTGTAATCTGATGTGATTTCCCTATGTGTTGTAAACTCTATCACTATGATGTAATAAGATGAATTCACAACAAATAAACCCATGTGATGTTTTCAATGATGTTGTTGTTGTTAGGTGCCGTATTAAATTGAAGTTTCCAAGTTATTTTTACCAAAAGTTTTTACCTTATACTGATGAGGTCTACAAGATTAGATAGTGTCTTAAGCTAATCTCTTTTGAGATATAAAAGACAGAAGTGAGCAGAGACACACGGGAACTTCACATCACCAAGAAAGTAGTGCTGGGAGCAGAGCGCGTCCTCTGGACCTGAGGTTCCTGCGCAGAGATGTTCCCAGACCAAGGGAAGACTGATGCATTACGAGGACCTTCCTCCAAAGCCAACAGAGAGAAAACCTTCTCCTGGAGCTGATGCCCTGAACTTGGACTTGTAGCCTACTGGACTGTGAGAGAATAAACTTCTCTTTGTTAAAGCCATCCACTTGTGGTATTTGTTATAGCAGCACTAGATGACTAAGACACTCCTGATAACATGTCCAAGTATGTAAGATGAAGTCTTGCCATCCTTGCTTCTAAGAAGCATTCTGGCTGTAGTTCTTCCAAGGCACATTTGTTCATTCTTCTGGTAGTCAGTGGTATACTCAATATTCTTCACCAACACCGTGAGTCAAAGGCATCAATTCTTCTTCAGTCTTCCTTATTCATTGTCCAGGTTTCACATGCATATGAGGCAATTGAAAATACAATGGCCTGGGTCAGGCACACCTTAGTCCTCAAAGTGATATCTTTGCTTTTTAACCGTTTTAGGAAGTCTTTTGCAGCAAATTTTCCTAACGTAATGCGTCTTTTGATTTCTCGACTGCTGCTTCCATGGGCGTTGGTTATGCATCCAGGTAAAATGAAATCTTTGACAGTTTCAGTATTCTCTCCCTTTATCATGACGTTGCCTATTGGCCCAGTTGTGAGGATTTTTGTTTTCTTCATATTAAGGTGTAATCCAAACTGAAGGCTGTAGTCTCTGATGTTTATCAGTACGTGCTTCAAGACCTCTTCACTTTCAGCAAGCAAGGTTGTGTCATCTGCATATCGCAGGTTGTTAATGAATCTTTCTCCAATCCTAATGCTGCTGTCTTCTTCATATAGTCCAGCTTCTCAGATCATTTGCTCAGCATAAAGGCTGAAGAAGTATAGTGAAAGGATACAACCCTGACGCACACACCTGGTTTTAAACCATGCAGTATCTCGTTCTGTTCGAACAACTGCCTCTTCGTCTACGGACAGATTCTTTATGAACCCAGTTAAGGGTTGTGGGATCCCCCGTCTTTCCTAATGTTATCCATAATTTGTTATGATCCACAGAGTTGAAAGCTTTTGCATAGTCAATAAAACATAAGATAACATCTTTCTGGTATTCTCTGCTTTCAGCCATGATCTATCTGACATCAGCAATGATATCCCTCATTCCATGTCCTCTTCTGAATCCAGCTTGAATTTCTGGCAGTTCCCTGTCGATGTACTGCTGTAACCGCTTTTGAATGATCTTCAGCAAAGCTTAACTTGCGTGTGATATTACTGATATTGTTCTATAATTTCCACATTCCATTGGATCACCTTTTTTCGAAATGGGCAAAAATATGGATCTCTTCCAGTCAGCTGGCCAGAAAGCTGTCTCCAAATTTCTTGGCATAGATGAGAGGGCACTTCCAGTATTGCTTCGTTTGTTGAAACATCTCTATTGCGATTGCATCAATTCCTGGAGCCTTGTTTTTCACCAGTACCTTCATTGCAGCTTGGACTTCTTTCTTCAGTCTCATCAGTTCTTGATCATATGGTACCTCCTGAAATGACAAAGGCCGACCAATTCTTTTTGGTACAGTGACTCTGTGTATTCCTTCCATCTTCTTTTTTTTATTTTTTAATACTTTATTGTAATTTGGGTGAAGGCTTACGGAACAAATAGTTTCTCATGAAACAGTAGTACACATGTTGTTTTATGACATTGGTTAACAACCCCACAATATATTAACCCTCTAACTTCTCAACCTTTTTTTTTTTTGGTGAAAATACACATAGCCAAAGACACACATGCACAGTTCAGTGACATTGACTATGCTCTTCCAATTGTGCTGTTA